CTCAACTCAAATGTTCTGATGACATTTCGTTGTTTGCAACCTACCGTGATCGTCGTAAGTTTATGCATTTTATGATGGCACTTCGTGAGGATTTTGAATCTACTTAGGCCTCTCTTTTGCATCGCACACCTCTTCCCACTCTTGAGGCTGTAGTTACTGAACTTATTTCCGAAGAAAATCGTCATTCAACCATGAAGATGCAAACTCCAGATTCAGTTGTTGCTACCATCCCTAAGACTACCTTTGGATCTTCTCCAGCCTCGAGTCGTTTTCCTTCTCAATCCTCAAAGACTGTCTTCTGCAAATACCGCAAACGTCTATGTCACTCTTTTACAGAATGTCAAAAATTGTAGAACAAAAATTAGTCTCGGGCCCCCTTGTTGCAAGCTGCTGTCGTGGCTCCAACTGCTCCTTCTGCTCTTGAGTCTGCTACTAAGCCTTCTTTAGTGTCCACTATTCTCACTACTACTGACATTGAGGCATTAATTCATCAGGTTTTATCCCAGTCTTCTAGTGCTTTTTCTGTCCCCTCAGGTACATCTCCTTGGATTTTTGATTCCACCATTTTTTCACAAAAATCTACTTTGTCACCCAATCCTATCATATATACTGCTGATGGTTCTCATTTGTCTGTTAGTCATATTGGGTCCATTTCCTCCCCTACCTTATCTGTAGACAACACCTATCTTATTCCCAAGTTATCCTTAAATCTTCTTTCAGTTGGTCAACTTTGTGAATTAGGTCTTCAACTTACCTTTTCTAATGCTGGTGTTGATGTGCAGGATTCACAGACAGGTAAACTCATTGGGATAGGCCGTAAGATTGGACATCTGTTTGAGCTTGCTTCTTTGCAGCTTCTATCCCATCTGTCTCGCTCCATTGTTGCTCCCGCCATCTCTTCCCAATTATGGCATTCTCGGTTGGGTCATGCCTCTATACCTCGTGTTCGTCTTTTGGCCTCCCAAGGTCACCTAGGTTCTATAGGTTTTGAGTCTTTTGATTGTGTTTCCTGTCAACTTGNAACAAGCTCAGATCGATGATGTAACAAGTACAACCATGTATAACGAGAATAATCATCAACAAAGATAACAAAATAACGAGATCCCCCCTTAGTAGGAATGGGTGCAAGACCCCAAATATCAGAGTGAATCAAATCAAAAGGTGCAGTAAAAAAAGAGTCACTTATATTAAAAGGTAAATGAGTTTATTTGCCAAGTTGACAGGAAACACAATCAAAAGACTCAAAACCTATAGAACTTAGGTGATCTTGGGAGGCCAAAAGACGAACACGAGGTATAGAGGCATGACCCAACCGAGAATGCCATAATTGGGAAGAGCTCTTTTACTTTCTGCTTATTTACCTGAAAAGTTTTGGGGTCAAGCTGCTCTGACTACTGTGTACATAATCAATCGGGTACCCTTACCTATACTTCACAACAAATCTCCTTATGAGTTTCTCTATGGTATGGTTCCTAACTATTCATTACTTCGTGTCTTTGGTTGTGCCTGTTTTGCTACTCTTCCTCCTCATGAAGGGACCAAACTTGAACTCCGTTCTCAGTTATGCTGTTTTCTTGGTTATGGCTTAATTAAAAAAGGTTATCATTGTTATGATCCTATCTCCAAACGTCTTCGAGTCTCTCATCATGTGGAGTTTTGGGAACACAAACCATTTACTAGCATATCCACGTTCTCCCCTTCCTCCTCTAACAACTCACTCATATTCAATGATCCCTCTATTGCTCTATTTTCTGACTCTTCTACAGAGATTCCAAGCTCCTTAGATAGTTCTTCCACCGCTGCACCCAATCTAGTTGATGCGTTTGATGGACCACCTGCCACACCACCCATTCCTCCATCTTCTCCACTCCCTGAACCTCATCGTTCCAGTCGGGTAAGTGTTCCTCCTACTCATCTTCGTGATTATCACTGTTGCCACCCTCCATGAACCTCACAATTATCGTGAGGCTCATACTGACCCTCTTTGGTAGCAAGCTATGTTTGATGAATTGAATGCTCTTGTCAAAACACATACTTGGGATCTGGTGGACTTGCCTCATGGTAAAACTGTAGTGGGATGCAAGTGGATTTATAAAATCAAGACTTGAGCAGATGGATCAGTTGAACGCTACAAGGCTCGACTTGTTGCTAAGGGGTTCACCCAAGAGTATGGGATTGACTATGAGGAGACTTTTGTTCCTGTTGCTAGACTTACCTCTGTCAGATCTTTACTTGCAATTGCTGCGGTCCGGCGTTGGGAACTTTTTCAAATGGATGTTGAAAACACCTTCCTTAATGGTGATCTTACTTAAGAAGTTTACATGTAGCCTCCACCTGGCTATAAGCATCTTCCAAATAAAGTTTGTCGTCTTCGTCGTGCACTTTATGGGCTCAAACAGGCTCCTTGAGCTTGGTTTGAGAAATTTCAGTCAGTGGTTTCTCAACAAGGCTTTCTTTCTAGCCCATATGATTATGCACTCTTTCTTCGCACTATTGGGGCATGTACTATCCTTCTTCTTCTCTATGTAGATGATATGATTATTACTAGTGATGATATTGGTGGTATTCGAGATCTTCAAACTTTTCTTAGTCAGAGTTTTGAGATGAAGGATTTGGGACATCTTAACCACTTCTTAGGCCTTGAAGTTACTTCAAATCAGGATGGTTATTATCTCACTTAAGCAAAATATGCCTCTGATTTACTTTCCAAAGTTGGTTGACAGACAGCAAGATAGCCACGAGTCCACTTGAGTATAATACTAAGCTTCTAGCCATTGACAGTTCTCCACTTGCAGATGTAACTCTTTATCAACAGTTAGTTGGCAGTCTCATTTATCTTACTGTCACCAGGCCTAAAATTTCATATGTTGTTCATCTGGTCAGTCAGTTTATGAGTGCACCTCGATCTACCCATTTTGCTGCGGTTCTTCGAATTCTACGCTACATCAAGGGTACTATGTTTCATGGTCTTCACTTCTCATCCGATTCCTCTCTAGAGCTACGGGCCTATTCTGATGCAGATTGGGCTGGTGGTCCTACTGATCGTCACTCCACCACTGGTTATTGTTTCTTACTTGGTACTTCTTTGATTTCCTGACGTAGTAAGAAACAATCTGTTGTTGCCCGTTCTAGCACTGAGGCTGAGTATCGCGTTCATGTTGATACGACATCTGAACTTTTGTGGTTATGCTAGCTTCTGAAAGATATGTGTGATCCTCAATCAATAAGTTCTCCTCTTCACTATGATAATCGTAGTGCCATCCAGATTGCGCATAATGATGTGTTTCAGGAGCGTACTAAACATATTGAGATTGATTGTCACTTCATCCGCCATCATCTTCAGCAAGGTGTCCTCCAATTACATTCAGTTTCTTCTGAAGATAATCTTGCTGATATTTTCACGAAATCCCATCCACCTGGTCGACTTGGTGATCTTGTTTCCAAACTTCAGTTGACTTCGCCACCAAGAGTTTGAGGGGAGATGTTAGTATATATTAGTGTCTTATAATATCCCTAGAATATTGTTAGTATATATACATTAGTATCTTATAATATCCCTAGAATATTTGATTTTTCCTGTAATTATGCTAGGTTAGAATCTTTACATATATTGTATTTCCTTATTAAACATATATTGTATTTCCTTATTAACTTTGGCCTTCTCCACTATATATAGAGGCCTCCTTTGTATAGTTAAGACACACAGAAATATAAAATCATATGATTCCTCAAAGCTCTCTTTATTTCAACAACATAGAGATCAATTTGAATAAGTCTTTGATTAAAGAGAATTGAATATAGAGTTGTTCATGTACGAAATTCAAGTACAAATTCCCTCCACTTTGGAGAGAATGATATGGTCAGTGCAATTGATTTTTATCAATGAGGTGAAAATGCTCTTACGGATATTTTAATTGTAATTATTATGTAGTATTATTTTATTATTATGAGTTTAGGGAATGATGTGGAATACATTGCAAATGATTTTTATGAGAATCAACTAGTTTTGTTTATTCAATATTCCAGATATTTATAGAATGAATGCTTTATTGAATTATTCGTTATTTTTTCGGGTATTCTCAAAATCAATAGAATTTGTGACGAGTAATACTATTCATCCCAAATTTTATATTTTAGGTATCATTATATGAACATTGTCATACTATTCAATGCATCATCATTTTATTTACATGTCAATATACATATAAGGATATATCTAGAGGTGGGCAGGGACCGGTCCCAAGCAGGCCCAGGCCTGGGCCCGTTTGGGACTGGTCCCAAATGGGACCAGTCACTCATGGGCTTGGAACAGGTCCGAGGCCCATGAGAAAAATTAGGACCCGGACTAGGCCTTAGGCCTCATAGGGACTGGTCCCATGGGCCCAGGACCGGTCCCATGGGTTTGGATAATTTTTTTTCCCCCCGTCAATTTTTTTTATATTTTGAGGGCAAAACGAAATTTTATAGGGGGTTTTTAGTATATTTTAGGGGTAAAATTTATAAATTTTATAAAAAATTTTAGACCGGGAAGATTTTTTTTTTTATAAATTTTGTAAAATTTTATTTTAGCCTTCGTAATTTATATTTATTTTAAAATTAACAGGGGGTTTTATGTGATTTGGCAAGGGACTATATTAAAAAAATACAAAAAATTTTGGTCCTAGGCCTGGGCCTTGGAGGAGGGCCCAGTGGAGAGCCCAGGACCTCCTCCTTAGGTCTGGTCCAGTTTTGGGACCAAGCCTCCTAGGTCTGGTCCTCTCAAGGACCGATCCTAGGTCTGGGTTTTGGAGCAGATATATCATTTGAGATATGAAATTTGGGAAGAATAATATTATTGATTTATGATTCACTCGTTATCCTCACTGTGCCACATCAGATTACCTTAAACCAATCAAGATTATTTTATCACAAAGAAACCAGACAGTTATAACAGAGGAGGGGGGTACAACTTGGAGCTTGTTCCTTTCACGTAGAGATAGAAAATAAATCAGGATCCAACTCATATCACAAGATTATGGAAAGGAACACTTTTCCTCGTCAATTCAATCAAATTTCAAGAAATAAATATCAAATTATTCTTTATAGTAAGACGTAATTATGATACAATGAGATATAATTAAAGACATCATTGGGCTTGCTCTTGTGCATAATTTATTTTTAGTTGTAGACTTTCAACCTCTTGGAGGGCGGTGGGGCATCTTCCTCTTCAGTATCAAAGTTAAAACTTTCGGTTCCACTTGATTCCCCAAAATCTTGGGCATACAATAAATGCATGCCACATTTTTTCACCTCACATTCAAAATCCTCAACAAGGAATTCAAAGGTTGCTTTATCAATGTCATGCAACTCAACATAGCAGTCATCTATCGCTTTCCATACATCCCGTGGCTCCCAAGTAAGGAATACATGATCTGATTTGACATAGTCAGGCGATCCACCATAAAACATGTCCCAAGCATACAAATGACCAAAGATGGTTTTCAACTCTCCATCTTTTGTTTTGGTCTTGCACTCACAACGAACATAGAAATCCTTGCCAACAATGTGATGGTCTGGAAATGATAATACAACACACATAGCAAATCCAAGAAAGTTTTCACTGATCCAACCTGGTGGCAGCTCGAGAGTTATAGAAGATCTTGTGCTTTGAAAGTTGAACCACTCTGGAATGTCATTTCCAGGGAAACAAATAGTCGCTCTGACGGCTTGATAAAATTCCTACACGGACAAAATCATCACTTGTAAGATAGTTTTAACTTTGTATGTGAAAAAAATAAATAAATCAACATCATGTAAAAGGAGGAAGTGAAAAGAGAACCTTGAAATGAATTTTTGCTAGAGCATCTTTCACATTTTCTCCGAGCGCCTTCAAATCCAATTTGAAACAATTGGCAAGGTTAACTTTCTGTTCACTCGATAAAGGTGAGAACAAAAATGATAAATCTGGTAATAGTTCTAATGAGGGGCAGCTATGTACTTGCATATCTAGAACCCTTGGAAGCTCAGGTAAAGATTGAAGCGTTTCGCAGAAGCTTAACTCCAGAAATGACAGATTAGAAAGGTCTATGATGCTCTCTGGTATGCTCTCAAAATTGTTTCTGGCTAGATATAACTCTTCCAAAGAGGATAGCCAATACAAATTGTCAGGTAACTTTGTGATTTGGCAATCAGTTAGATCTAGAATTCTTAGAGAACGCATACCTAACAAAGGAGGCAATTCCAAACCCACCAACTCTTGACCCTTACATCCCCATAAGTACAATCCAAGAAGTTTGTTCAAATGCACAATGGATGATGGTAATTTTATTATGGCAGTTTCCACAGCTTTGAGTTCTGACAGAGCTTCTAAACTTCCTATTTCATCAGGTAATTTTTCAAGCTTTGAGCAACAAGAAAGAGTAAGATATTTAAGAGATTTCAACTTACAAATGTTGTTTGGAAGACTTTCAAGCCTTAAACAATTTTCAAGATCTAATATCTCTAGTCTTGATGGATGTTGGATTACGGGTAATTCTTTTATAGCAGTTCCATCCAGATATAAGCTTTCCACATTGCATGAGATAGTTGGAGCAGTCTTGAGATTTGAGCAACCAGAGAAAATAACATCTCTTAGAGCTTTTGAATGAAGGCTAGTTGGAAGACTGTCAAGACTTTTGCAATTTTTTAAATTTAGGATAACAAGCTTCTTGAGATTCTGGATAGAGGAAGTCATCTCAAGTAAACTTGTACAACCATCTAGAATCAATCTCTGAAGATCGGGGGCTTTAGAGAGATTTGGGAGCTTCTTTAAGTTCTTTGAGTAACTAAGGTTGAAATGTTTCAACTTAGCAAGATGCTGTAAGAAAACAAGCAAATGATCATCTCAAATTAGCATCTTTCTAGACTAAGGCTTGTTTGATTTCAACACTTAACAATAAAAACAATTGAAGTGATTTTCTCGTTTATTTTTTAGTTTAAAGACTAGATCACTAATTCTAATAAGTAAAAAAAAATCTTTGTTTTTCTCTTAAGTGTAAAAGGAAATATATAAAAGTCATATTTAACTATAAAAATACATATTTCTCATTTAATCTAATTTCATATCTTTGTCCATATTCTTCTACTTCTCGCGAATTACAGTAATATAATTAATAGTTAAATAATATAATTCCTAAAATTAAGCAATTTTTTTTTTTTATATAATTAACCTTAAAAATATTATAGTTTATATATATATATATAACCTTAAAAATATTATAGTCAACATAAGGACATGTTAGTAAAATAAAAATTGGAAACTTTTATTTAGACATCATTAATTTAAAAATAAACGTATCACATATCTTTACACTATTAAGTATTAGATGTAACTTAAATTTTATTAAAGTATTAAACGAAAAAATCAAACAACCCCTAGGAATTTTTGAAAAGAAAAATATTGCTATGAAAAATCAAGATATACCTGAACACCATTCCATAGTTGTTGAACATTGCTGCGAGGCATGTCAAGTGCAACAAGATTCTCTCGATAAAAATTTGATGGCAATGATTTCATTGCATATCCATCCCAATAGAGATACCTTAGCTCAGTGAAAATAGAGCCAAGACCTTGGAAATTATGCACCTTAATATTTCTCTCTTGGTAATTGGAGTTGTATAGTTTCAAGAATCTCAGGTTATGCATCTTTGTGAAGACACGACTCTTTAAGTGCATATTATTTATTTTAGACATGTCCAAGCATATACCCTGAATTGCTTTTGTTCCCTAATAATAAAGACAACACAAGTTAAGTACCATTAATTTCTAGAATCTTATGTTAATTGTCTAACAAAAAAATTTGTAATTTTGCAGCTAATATTTTCTTCTAGCTAAATCTCACTTAATAAAATAAATAATAATGGCCTCAGCTCTCACCGTATTTTTTGTCAAGACATGGTAGATATCTTTATGATTCCACAATCGACTACATTTACCAGGATCATTAACAGATTCCTGTCGAACGATTTCTCTACCCATTTCTTGAAGGAGGTCATGCATTGTAATCATGTATTTTGATATATTTATGAGAGACTTATCAATGAGAACCCTCATTCCAATTTGTGCAGAAAAACCACTGGCGTCCAAGATTTCTTTTACAAGGCAGCTATCCCACCCTTTAAAGAAACATGCAATATCCAAAAATATATTCTTCTCTTCATCATCTAGTCCATTGTAACTTATTTTTAGAACCTTTTGGATATTCTTATGAGGAATGTTTTCCATTTTAACCACTGCACTTTCCCAATCTATTTTCCCTCTACCAAGTAGAAGGGAACCTAGAACCCTAAGAGCCAACGGAACACCTTTAGCATATGTTACTACCCTATTTGATAGTTTTGTATAACCTACCAAGGGATGGTTTTGTCTAAAGGCATATCGACAAAAAAGCTTTAGAGCATCATCATTAGATAATCCCGAAACTTTATGTATTTGATTCACTCCGCAATTCTGAAGCACTTGCTTATCCCTAGTAGTTATGATGACTCGACTTCCTAAATTCAAGCATTTAAGATCTCCGATTAATCCTGAAATTTGCTCTGAGCACATCACATCATCAAAAACAATCAAAACTTTCTTAGCACGAAGCCTAGATTTTATAAAATTATTACCTATATTAGGAGTACCAATGCATATATTCTTATCCTCTAATATAGTTGAAAGAAGTTCTTGCCGCAAGTGAGATAGTCCATTAGGATTCTCCAACTCTTCCCTAACATTTTCAGCAAAGTATGAACTTTCAAAATGACATGAGATTTTATTGAATATGGCAGCAGCAATTGTTGTTTTACCTATACCGCCAATGCCCCAAATTCCTATAACACGAACTTCATTTAATCCAATGCATAACAATGATTCGATTTTCTCAATGCTTGATTTTACCCCAACCAAATCATTATTATCATCAGGAGACATATCATTCAGCCTCTTCAAAATGTCTTGGACGATTTTCTCTATAAGAAGAGATTCATGCCTAAATGAAAAGAAGAAACAACAACATATAACGAAAAATCATTAGTCAAAAAGATAGAAAACATAATTTCAATTCCATTAACCACGTTCATTCCTCCATTCTTGAACATGGGAAATTTCACAATATAATCTCTCTGTCTTACATGTTACTAATTAAAAATAATTTAGATAAATAAAAATGGTAAGAATTACTAATAAATGGATTATAAGATATGATAAAGAGTATTTTCTTACTTAAAGTATGTTAACAACATAATTTGGATTGATGATCGAATGCAATCTAATTATGCTCGACTTTGCAAATCCTTGGAGAATATTTAATAATTGAAGTACCTCTTAAATCAATGTTGAAAACATTTAACAATAAATGAAAAAAAAATAAAAAATTATGCTACTCAATGAAATTGTCAACTGAATAAATTCACTGCTTATGCTTAAAGTTAAAATTGGGAATAAAGATATTCATAATAAAAATAAATCGGTAATTGCCCCTTCAATTAAAGTTAAAAGTTGGTACGAGGTAAAATCAACTATGCAGATATTTCATAAACTTATTGACAAAAGTGATCAAATCCGCAGAAACTGTAAGTTTTATATTTATAGAAATTTACCGAATAACATTTGAATCCCAGCCAGATAAGTTGGCTGCTTCCCTCAAAGCAATCTTCCATTGTTGTACCATCTCTAAGCTCTCCTTAAACCGCTCGACAAGCTCAGCAAATGCATCTCCAAAATTTCCAGTTTGATTCCTTACATGTGAAGGATCTACGTTATAGAAAACGGGTATTACAATTTGACCATACACTTTCTTGCATTCAAGGATCTTTACAAGTTCTTGAAGGCACCATTTGGAAGCTGCATAGCCTTTTGAGAAAATTATAACCGAAATCTTTGATTCTTCGATTGCTTTGAAAAGTGAAAGGGAGATTTCTTCTCCTCTTATAAGCTGGTTGTCGATGTAAGTTGTGACCTTTTTCGAACACAATGCTCCGTAGAGATGACTAGTAAAACTTTCACGAGTATCCTCACCTCTAAAACTAAGAAAAACATGATAGTTCATGTCAGGAACACCTGTAGAAGAAGAAGAATTCATCCTGCTTGGACAATTGGATACTCTTGGCTCTCTCTCTATGAACCATTTCCTTGAAGATTCCCTTTTTCATTGGAATAAGAGATTCCTTGAATCGAATGGCTGATTTTTGTTGACTTTGACTAAACATAGGAAGAGCATGTGAAATTTCCAATCTTCAGCAAGAAAATCTCTAGTGAGATTTTACCTGTCTATTTAAGTTGAATTTTATGTTAGATTTTAGCTACACAAAGCATTATATTACTGCCAATTAGAGGAATACAACTGGAGAATTTTTGGTGGAATAAATATACCATGTAATCCTTTCGAGTCAACATAGTAAACACTATTTTTTTAATCTCTCATAGAGCCTTACAGCTCATTCCTAAAGATCCTTTCAAAAGTGACTAGTCTATGATCATATTGATTAATCAGTTTTATTTTGTTTATTTCTTTCAAAAAATCACAATCGTTTTTTGAAAATCTTGTTCTTATGAGTTTAACTGAGGCGGACCAAGGAAACTCCTGTTGTAGATGTACATTTAAATGCTGCTGCAACACAAAAGTGATGTAAGGTGGCAAAGTTACTGTTAGTTTTTTTACGGTTATTGTTTAGTTTTGTTAAGTTTTTTAAGCGGTTGTTTTGCAGTTTTTTTTGTATTCTCTGTAACTTTAAATGATTCCTAGTGTGAGTGTAGTAGAGAAAATATAGTTTTATTAATGGAGAATCAGTTCTTTTTTTGCAATTAATCTTCTTAATCTGTTGTTATATTTGCTTTAATTGTTCATTGTTATAATAAATTGGTATCAGAGTTTAATTCTCAAGGGACTTATGTGACATGTGTCGGTAAGTCATTTGCTTTAATTGTTCATTGTTACGACAAATTGGTATAGAGCTTAATTCTCAAGGGACTTGTGTGAGATGTTTCGGTAAGAATGATTTTTTTATTACTTTTTCCAGAAAAATATAGAAAATGTTTTAAACGTGGTAGGTTTTTAATTACTTTTTCCAAAAAAAAAATTATGGTTTTTATGATTTAATTTTTTTTTTATAAATTTAAGATTTTTGTAGTATTTTTAGGCTTTTTTAATTTAGAAAAAAGGATAATATTGTCATTTAGTGGTCAAGATTGGTCAACAGTTAAATTTAACGACAGGGAAAGCTGTTGTACAAATTGGTATAATTGACTCAATTAAATTGAGGGACCAACTGGCAATTTCAAAAACTAGAGGGGTGGTGATGTTTAAACCCATTAAAGAAATTTGTTTAGAGAAGAAAAAGACAAATGGCAATGCATGTACTGTAGTGCTTGAGCCAACTTGACGGCTGCCGACGTGTCATGAAACTAGTATAACTACTAGATTTGCCGGCCATTTATTTATTCAAATGTTTAAGTCACACATCCTTCTGGCGACCGACGCCTGACAGTTTACACTTTCAAGAGTCTCTCGTCATCATATGAAAACGCTCCTATTTCTCCATCAACCAGCCTGTCACTCGCTGTCTCTAACATGGCCTGACTAGATGTCACGATTAGAGTAAACGATATTTTTCCACGCGAACCTCTTCTCACCCCTGTTTTCATAAATGGTAGATTCTCACTCCTAAATTAATACTGTAATTTTTCTCTCAAAATAACTCACATGTCTCAAATTTTTCTCAAATAATCTTAAGAGAAGATCCCAATTAAGCTAATTGAACCTCCCCATTTTTCTCAAATAATCTTAAGAGAAGATCCCAATTAAGCTAATTGGACCTCCCCGACGCCACCATCAACATTTCATTATCCTCCTCACCAAATCTCTTAATTTTTCCACTTGATTGCACCTCGATGAGGTACCAAAATTTGGATGGAAATATACGACAAAACACAAAAACCTAAGGGAAAGGCGACGACAATCAACGGGCAATTACGATCGACGATGTTGGAGATTTTGGTGGGGGAGAGCAGGTGATGCAATTGGTGGTGTTGGAGGTGGTTTTTGGTGCTAGAATTTGGATGAAACGCCAACTGAAACTAAGAGTACTGATTGGCGATTGGGGAATTCAATCAAACAGAGAGATTAGGGGTTTTGATGTGGGGGTTGAAGAGATTATAATGGTAGTGTCGGGAGGGGTTGACTACGCCAGAAACGGGTCAGAATGACCTAAAATCACCGATGTGGTGAATTTAAGAAGTGAATGATTGTTTTGAAATTTTTATGTTTGAAATGTCCATTTTACTCTTTTAACTATTAAATTAAACCGTATTTTTTTGGTTAATTTAAAGATGAGAATTTGTAATTTATGAAACTAAGGGTGGGAATGTAGATTAGCCAAACCTTGAGTCGAAAAATATCGTTTACTCTTCTTCTTTTTTATTATTTTTGCACGCCTTCCCATTTATGTTGTATAGGAGTTTCTTATTGTTTTTATTTCATATTAATTATAATACAATTCATGAATTAAAGCTAATAAATTAACATTAATTAAATAAATTAAAGATATTACTCATCAAACTCAAGATAAAGATTAAGGATAGTTAAATTATTTATATATGTTTAAACAATTGGATTTTGTATAAAAGACTTTTATAAAAATTGATGTGTTTTCATATAATTGATAAATTTAGATTTAAGATAATTAAATAAATTAAAAGGAGACTATATTGTCAAACATACATAAATTGTAATACTATTTTATAGAATAATTTGAACTAGTAGTTTGTAATGTAGCATTATTCCTATTCAAAATAATAATTTTTTTTCAAATTCCACTCATGCCTAAGTGATTCATTTAATTTCTGAAATTAAAAATAATAATAATAATAATGGGTTGCATGATAAAAGAGAAAACAACAAATGTCGTCATTTAAATACATAGTTAAAGATAATAATAAAAAGAAAAAGAAGAAGTTATACCACAAATATAACCCATTTTGATTTTTATTAACATATACCGGTATTTAAAACACGTATAAATCACAAAAGTTATCTTTGTTATTTTAAGAAATATTTAGTTTAAAGATTGATTTGAATTCTTGGATTTTAATGTCATTAACATGTTACCCAGGATACCCATTAACATAACCATAATTTTTTTTATAAATGTCAATGACATTAATTAATAAGTTATATAAGAGTTGACTAAATTTTATTATATCTTGACAATATAAGAACATGAATATAATATGTCAATACAAATTTTCAACCACTTGGGGATTTTTTTTATTAGTAAATAAAAGAATTAATAAATGATGTAATTAAAAATATTAAGCAAGAGTTATGATGTTATAATGACATTAAAATGAATTATTAATATGGAAATAATTTAAATTTAAATACAAAGAAACCTATTTTCACAATTGTATCTTGGTTTGATTTATTTAATAACCTGGTTTATATTAGGAGATTGATAAAATCTACATATTTAATTAAAATCATATCCAATTTTTTTCTTTTTATTGAATTCTTTAATTCTACTTCCTTAAATAGTATTTATTGAAATTAAAATTCTATCTTTACCTAATTTGACATAAAAAAAATTATTTATATTTACCATATTTACTTGTAGTATTAGCATTACACTCATTTTCTACATAATTATGGAAAGCATTAATATCAGTTTATTTAGTAAAAAATTAATGAAAAACATTATTAAAAACTATAATACGAAAATTCTTGCATTTTGGGACATTATGTTAAGACTTCCTTTTATTCTTTTATTTAGGGATGGGATAATTCAGTTAATTGAACCGGATTGCGTAAACCAAAAAACAAACCGATTATTCGGTTTTGGTAAAAGGCTAAACCGAAACCGGACCGATTTATGACATAAACAAAATTTAAAATGAACCAAATTTCGGTTCGGTTATCCGATCATAAGTTATCAAACCGAATTTCCAATAAAACCCTAAATTCTACATTTTTTACATTTTAGTCACCAAATGCAGAAATTTATTACATTTTTATTTATTTTTTGGTTATTGTTGTTGTATTATTTGTGTGAAAAACAAATTAAATGGTGGTATTTTCAAATCCTGAATCCAACAAAACAAACATAAAGTATTCCATCATAAATTAGTCATTTAATGAAAACATTGGCATAAAAAGTGAAAAGTTTTCAAATAGAAAAAGTCTTCTTCAAGACTTCAACCATCTTAATTTAGGCTTGACTTCAAAATTCAAATCCCCAAAGTCTAGACTTCTTCAATTCAGGCCTTCATGGTAAAGTTACAATCTACAATAATGTAAAGGGGAAAAACAAGTTAATAAAAAATAATCCATGAGAAAAGTTCAAACCCGTCCATCACCAAAAAATAACAAACTCTTATCCCTTCTCATCCACAATAATGTAACAATTTCCACAACACAACCAGATGTAACAATTCTTTCAACTCAAGAACTGCATCAAAAACTTTATTTCCACAACATAACCAAATGTAACAATTCTTCCCTAACGACAATGGTCTTTGACAATTCAAAAAGTGCTAAGTTATTTTCTTTAGTTTCTTGTGAGAGTTGTTCCCATGTGCATTACAAACTGCCACAATTAGTTTATTCTACAAAAACTTCAATTACAATAAAGAGAATATAAATTGAGTTATTTCTATAGCAAAGTATTTGTTGATATGTGATTTTGACACCAACCAAACGCACGTGTGAAATACTGAGCTGGCCCAGAAGACACACGTGGATGAGAGAGTGAGAGTAAAAGCAATAGAGAACATCGTTTAAAGTGGTTCGGATGCTCAAAGAAGCGAATCCTACATCCATTGATTTTGTATTAATAATAATGGTCAGGTCGCGTTCAGCAGACTGACTTACAAATGATTACACAAGAAAGAGAATGCTATTTTTCTTTAGAGAGATTAGCTAATCCCCCAAATGAGAGAGGAGCTCTCAATTTATAGTGAGATGGATTAAGGTTATGATTACTAAATCTGTGAGTTGGTGGGATTATCCGTGCAAATCCTTCTTTATGTCCCATTGCCCACCTTCTAGAGCGATTTACGCGATTTGGTGCAGGGATTAGACACGTGGAA